CTTGGCCTGCTGTGTTCATCCAGCTCTGCACCTTGTTGTCTCAGATTCTCCAGCATCTGCAGTTCCTACTATCTCAGCTGGAAGGTATTTAGGTTGTACATATCCAACCAATGGGAGTGCAAGAGTCTCGTGGTGCAGAGGTAGTGTCCCTACATCTGAGAGGAAAGAAGTTGGTAAGCAGTGGGCTCAGATCCAAAAGCGGAAGCTAAATGTACACGCAGCAGATATCATGCCATGGTGTCTGATTACATAGCAATCATTAGGATATACATGCCCTGGCTGAAAACAGGGAGAAGAAAAGACAATAGAAGTGAGGCCAGAGTTAAAGTCAGAGATCCTGAGGTGGAGTCAGCGCAGGATATCAATAGACACTGCTGTTCAAATCTGGCAATAGTTGCGGGAGCTAAGTCAAGTCTAGAAGCTACCTTAAGTGTAGAATATTGAAGAATGCTTGTTTCCTGCGAGAATAAAGATTCAGCATGCATCAATATGACTGCAAGGCAATAAAACAGTGACGACAATGGAGGTCACCAAAAATCAGGAAAAAACTCTGAAGTAGAGGACTATGAAACTCTTGGCAGGAATAAGATTACATCCGAAAATCGCTAGCGGAACAAGTAAGGCAGTCACAGACTCAGCAAGGAACGAAATGAGAGCCATAAACTGATCACAGGTACTTTTAAATGGGGAGTTCCAGTGCAGATATACAGTCTTGATGTTCAGAAAATTCAGGAATTGGATAGCCAAACTTGAGGAGATCAGCGCTCCCCAAGCTTGGAGATAGGCAGTGGCAATAGTTCCACCTTAAAAATGAACAATTTCCAAATACCTCTCAACTGTGATGTGAGACTTTTTAAGCCTAGCCTTAAAAACATATGTTGTCAAATAGGGCAAAACAATCAGATGGAGCTCTAAGAGGACCAGAATGGAATCTGTAAATAATCATTCCAAGATGGTTGAACTGCTAATTTCAGTTAGAAAATGTATGTACATAATTAGCACTCATTAATTTTCCTGGTCACACGAACAGAGGTCCTACAGTCATAACAGTGCCTGTGGAGCACAGGTCATCAGAATGCTCAATGTTGAGAATAAAAGTGCATTTAGAGCGCACCCCTCAATCTGGTGGTGATAACAAACAAACTAACTTGGGGTCACAAGAACAGCAATTCGCAGAAGTCAATTCCAAATCACAACCAAAATAATCTCCATTTCCCATGAATAAAATCAGAACTTGGGAGCACCAACACATTTGACTTCATCTAGAATTGCTTGTGAAGAGATGATATAAAATCAGGTTTGTTCGATACATGAGGTGGCAAATGTGAAAAAAATAATAATCTGATAGAGTTTGCTTTGAAAGTACCCAGAAAACACAATACTCTTTTGGACTACAAGAAAGCAGAGTGTCCTTTGTCCATTCGTCAGCCAGTCACATACATGTTGATGGCCAACAGGACTTGTTTACAGCAGCTCTTGAACTTAAACAGCCTTACACTAAACTAGTTTCCACATTCATTTGCAAGCAAGTCATCACCTCAATGACTTGAGTTTTCCTCAGACCTCAGTTAGATAAGCATTTCTTTGCTGACAGATTTAAGGAATTTGCTCTCCATTGCAGATTCCTTCTCTGATCTTTGCAACCTCCATCATACCCCTCATTTCCCCGACCACTGCCCACCTTTCTTGAGCTGGTGGAGTCTCAGGCCTTGGCTAAAGGCAACCACCAATCCTGGCCTTGTGCTCACTTTAAAAAGTCTATTTCCCATTGTCTACAAACCATCTCACCTGCACTAGTCCTTACAGAGGAAGTATTTTAACTTCCATGGGATAAGGGCATCACTGACAAGGCAAGTTATTTGTGGTTTATCCCTAACTGTCCTTGAGAAGGTGGCACTGAGCTACCTTCCTAAAGCTGTTGCAAGTATCTAATTACATATTTCATGCATTGAGTTGTAAGTTTTAATTTTAGAAATTGAATTTAGAATGTCGATAAGTGGAAATATCTGATTAACAAACTGGTGATACAAATAAGTACAATTAAAACACACCATGGACAATCATAGATTAGAAGGGAATGTGCGTGTTGCTGGTATGGTTGTAAAAGGTGTTCACAGATAGGACTATGACAGTCATTTTGTTTGGAATATCAAAAGATATGCCACCTTGCTAAGGAGATAACAATATAAAGAGGAGGTACCATTTTGTGCCAGGCTTTATCTGAATGTTCTTCCACAGAAAGCAAGCAGCTTAACTTGGAGATATAAAGACAGCAGGTCTGCAGGAGCTGTGAAGCAAGTGAAAAGCTATCAGAAAAAAACATGTTTGTTTTGACAGTCACAAGCTAGAAGGTGCGACGCTCAAGTTGAAGGTTGCCACGCCAAACACTAGTGGAAGGATTCCAAAGTAACCTGCACCTGGGAGAATAACTGGAACACCAAGGAACAATGCAGTGGATAATAGAGAGCTGTGGCATACTTGGTTTTGTCTCAAAAAAAAAAGCATTACAAGGGGATCTGGATTTTCTAAGTCTCGGTAAACTATGTAGTGTTAAAAATTAAAGCGAGCCCTGCTAAGTTACATAAGCAGTAAAACCTTTTAAAAGCATGAAATCTGGTGGAGTAGTTCTTTCAGTTGATCGTTTGGATGTTTAACTTTCTCTTTAAACATGTACAGTCTTCACAGAAATCCTAACTAAATGCTTGGCTAATCTGGTACAGTTGATTTAAAGATGTCACAACATTCAGATAGGAATTGAATTTCAGTACTAGGTGCTAGTAATCAAACAGGATTGCTTGGATACTGTCAACTATGTTAGGATCAACACTGGGACCAACAACTGGATTCACCCTCCAATATCTTTTCGAACTAGTTCAAAAGTATCTCAGGACAGGTAGGGCTCTCAATCTGCTATGAGGATTTCTGTGTCTCCATTATCGTTGTTTAATTTCCTACAACTACATTAGACCTACCCCATCTCCTTCCAACCACCAGCTTGTATTCTATCCTGTTCTAAGTTGCTATGGTGACAGCATTCTGGATGGTGTGGTTTCCCATTATTATTTAGACACTAATCACCAAATATCTTGTATCTCTCTACAAAGTGTGAAGATGATCTAAAGCAAATGGAGATACTAATTCCCCTCCCTTCTGTTGGGGAATCTCAAACTCTCATTGAGTCAGCAAATCTGAGCTAGAATGTAACAGATCTACTGTAGCCACATTCGCAGTGGGCAATATATTATCTTTCTCCCATACGGTAGTCAAAACAGAGGATGCTTTTCCATATTTTGGTCTATATTATCCATAAAAAATTAGATGGAGTTGACAAGGTACAACTTTTTAAAAGGCAAACAGCCACTAGGCTCTGTATCCCAGTCAGGGAACATGGAGAAGAAAAAAACTTGATGCTCAAATACTTGCATGCATATTGCATCTTTCGGTAGATAGTATAGGGAGAGGGAATCCAAGAAATGGACTTTCAGAAATATTTGCTTGAGCAAAGAAGTGGCTTTACAGGGCAGGCTGAGGGGAGCAGGCAACAAATGGAGATAGGACAGCTGTTCTAATCCACAACTAGTTAAATCTATATTGTCGCAATAACAAGATAGAAGTAGATGATATTGCTGATCAAGCCCAATCTGTCATTCAATAAAATCATGGCCAATCTTGGCCTTCAAATCCACTTTCATACCCTGTCTCATATAGCTGAACTACCTGAGAGATCAAAAATGTCCACTGCAGAAAACGGTCAGTAATGGAGTATTAACAACAACCTTGGTTAGAAAACTCCAAAGATTTACAACTCTTCGAATTAAAAATTGCTCATCTCAGTCAAACTCTTTATCCCGAGACGATACCCTATTGCTTAATCAGATATGTTACACAGCAATCTTTGCTGGCTGTAATACACAAAAGGCATAACAAGTGATAGCACTGCAAGTGGGAAAACATTCAGCATTACTGCAGAAGGAAACAAAATGGGATAGAAAGCTTGTGCTGGCTGAACGGAACTCAGCCAAAACAGCAATTGGGTTACTTTATTTAGGCTTAGCGTCTCTGAGCAAAGGTTCAGATTTCTGATCAATATTAGGTGACTTTTCGTCAAAGCGTAAGCATAGATACCAGATGAGAAACAACCGTACAAATGGGATTGAAGGGAGTCACCAAAGTCTAGCTGTAGTCAATTTGTTTGGGCACAAAGTTGCAAACAAAACATTCAGTAGTCTCCATTCCCAGTGACCTCCCAGAGTGTTGGTATACTCTGTGATAAATCTTAAGAACACATATGGATGCTTTCCAGAAACATCAACGATGTAGATTCACATGGAGCATGAGCATCACAAAGCAGTGGAGTGCATTTCAGTAAGTTTATTTCAAATGGACGAGCATGTTTCTTGTAAGTATCCTGGAAACTACGCTTAAACCAATGTTCAAGAAATAGTACATTAATTTTAATTAAATGGGTAACTTTAGGCTCCATGGAGAATTTGGAATGACAATTCAAAAAAAATTCAAGTATAACCTCAATCATAAACCACCATCATCTTCCCTGAACCATACATGAGGTAGAAAACCTGATGATTTTAATCAGTCAATGAGAAACTGGTCTATGGCTAGCTCAGTGAAGCATAATTTTCTGGGTCTTTTCAGCCTTTGGCAGGTCAAGCAGCTAAGTAGTCAGATCAGTTTCCAACATACAGTAATATGGTGCTGAACATCCACTAACAGAATATCACCTAAAGACTCTCCACTATTTTGGTGCCATAATCATTTTTTTCTTTATCATTTCTCACCTAACCAATTTTTTTTTGCATTCTAACATTCCTGTTACATTGGGCACTTGCCTCATGGAAGTGGTAAGCCAGCTTCTTAAAGTGCATGGTCTGTGTAGTGAAGGTATTTGAACAATGTATTAGATACAAAGTTTGGGACTTTTATTTAGTGATGTCGAACAATTGGCTGTACATTTAAATAATAAATAGGTGTTACTTGTAGGTGGCAGGTTGCTGTCCTCGTCCTTCCAAGCAGAAGTTTAGTTTGGGGTGCTTGCATAATCGCCTTAAAAAAAATGCCACTGCGCATCTTCAAGGTACACTGCCAACATGGTATGGCTCTCTTGGGGAAGGCAGTGATTGTTTAATCATGGGGCACCAATCAAGTGGACTGCTTTGCCATGGATAATGTTGAATTTCTACAACAAATGCAGCTACAATAACATTCAGAGAAAGGATCACTTCCAATTCGTGTCTCAGATAATGAAGAGACTTCAGGAGTCAGAAGATGAGTTACTCCCCAGAAAATTCACAGCCTTTGACTTGCCCTTGCAGCCATAGCATTTATTTGGTTAGTTCAGTTGAATTTCTGGTCAGAATGTCAGCAGCTGCTAATTAATATGGGGAGATGGTCAGACTTCCCCTTTTTGGAGAAGGTAATCGACTGGCAATAGTATGGCATGAATGTAACTTGCAGCGTACTTAGTGAAAGCGAACATGACCAAAAAAAAACCCAAAGGCCATGCTATTATAAATGTAATAACAGCACATGCAATTTAAAGATACACAGTAGGGAGCTGGAGGAACACAGCAGGCCAGGCAGCACCAGAGGAGCAGGAAACTTGATGTTTTGGGTCAGGTTTTTGTAGTTAAAGATACTGAGCACCTATATGCTTTTTCAATAGAACATGATTTGAGGTACAAGGATTTGAATCAAACACATCCAAATTTTTGGTATTAAGTCATCTATTTTGTATTTGTGGATCCACAAATACAATTTAGTTATTGTTCTTATTAGTTTGAAATTTTAAAACATGTTTGAAGCTTTACCCACCATTAATAACTCTTTCAGAAAGCAGAGACAAATTTACAACAGGATATATACAAAACAGGTCAAATACACGTTTTGATGCAGTAATTAAGCAGCACTGTAGAATTACGATCAACGTAAAACGATCAATACTAAAACTGATGACAACTTCCCTTCATCTAATTTGGTTGAATATGCAAACACCTCAAAGCCAAATACTAAACGTCCAACACAACGACTCAAAAATAACTATCTTTAAAAGAAATTTGCATCATCAGTGGGATCAACGTTCTCGCAAGAAAATAAACTGATTGCCTCAGCTCTCTCCTCCAAAAGATCGGGGATACTTGTATAATTTTTGGTCAGAGCTTACAAATGTCCAGGAAACGCTGGTGTGGCTCAGAGGAACTTGTCACAATTAAACCAAGTAATTAGGTACAACTCCACAACACAATACGACTTTTCACCAAAACCATGAAATAGTTTTAAACGCTTAAACCGAAAGTGGCGCACATTTCAATGCACACAGTCCTACAAGGGAGGGAAATCGGATTGCCATCATGTAAAAAGGGGGGAAAAAAAACTACATGGAAATTATATTAAAACCCGAACAAATAAGCCGAGACTCTCGGAAATGCGTCCCGAAGCTTCAGGCAAAGATACTCCTTGGTGCTCATCACCGACTCTTCCTCGTGGAACCCGATCCCGACGAGACAGGCAAATCCCGAAGCATCAGCTTGATTCCGGGGGTCTCTTAAACAAAGCGGCCCAAGGTCACCCCGGGGGGAAAGAGGCCAGCCTCCCGCCAGCAGACAGCAGCCTTTCCCCGGGAAAGAGTCCAGGCCGAATTCCAGCTCCACAAAATGGCGACGCGGAACCCGGAGCCAGATTCCCGGGGGCTGCAACCATTCACCATATCCCCCATTAAAAACAAACCCAACACCCCACTTCGGGTCCGGGCGTCGAGAACCAACATCGGCCTCCTCCACGACAATAAGGATCGAACAGGCCCGCCCCCTCCCGTTCCCTACCGAAAGCGGCCGCACTCACTCACCACTTCTTCTCGCTACCGGGCGCCTGCATCTCGGCTTATTGTCCCCACACCGGGGGCTGCGGGGCTCGGTCTCTGTGAAACTCGCAGCCACCAGGCCACGATCGCTGACTTCTCGCTGGAAGGCTCGGTCGATCGATCAGGCAGCCACTTGGATTGTCACATCCAAGTAATAACTCCACACCAAAACACAGAATGGCGACCACTAACTTCCACCGCCGCCAACACCAACTTTCTGCCGACTGCCCGTCACTAAGTCTCTCCTTGCGTCAGCCTCACGCGCGGCTGACGTATTGCGTCATGTGCACGCATGCCAGTGCAGCCGCACCCCCTCACGTCCAGGCCACGCCCCCTCCCTGCCGGGCTTGACGCTCCACGTGCCCCAGGCTCCAGCTCTGCAGCGTGCCACGCTGGACAGCCAACTTCACAGCAATGCCAACAAAGTTACAAAGGCGGCTCTCACTGGACCCGAAGCGTCAAAACTCTGCTTGCCTCTCCACGAGTGCTGCCGGACCTGCCGAGTTTCTCCAGCAATTTCGTGTTTCGGTTCAGCAAACCCAAGTAGGGCCAGAAAAGAAAGCAGGAAATAAACTATTCCCCCACATCTATGGACGGGGAAACAGTACTAGGATAAGGGGTATGAAAAATATCTTGTGATCATGTACATTTGCTCGATCGCGTCGTCTTGGTTGTCGCTACTTAACATATTTCATGGAAAAATTGCCCTTCAACCCATCACGTTCGCACTAGT